CTCAAAAACAGATTGAATTCGAATTTCTTCGTAAGAATTTTTAACAGCACTTCCGAATATAACTCGAACCTAAGCAGAATAGCTGCTATAGCTAAAATTAATATTGCGTGCAGTGCGCTGATTTATGGCGCGAATATTGCTTTTTGCTTTTTGAAGGGAAAAAAGAGTTTGCTAATTCGTTAGAATTAGAAGGATTATCCGAAAATTATGTCCGTGCACATTTCGGTGGTGTACGTCGTACGGAGTGCTACGGTCTAGATGTGGCGAACTGGCGACCTAGTATCCCCCCACTTTTTTGGTTAGTATCCCTTCCACTGCACTGATCTCTCTATTTTAGCTTTGGCTTACTGTTAGTTAAGTTAACCTCTTGCGCTGGAATGACGTGCCACGCACGTTGAGAATTTTTTGCTCCAAAATTGCAATATTTTCTCTCAGTTTTTTTTAATTATATTTATTAAATATAAGTATATTTAATTAACTTAAGTATATTTAAATATAACTCTACATTAAATAAGTATGTTTTTAATTATATTTAAATATATCTATGTTTTAATTATAAATATATAATAATATAAATATGTACTTAGTTATAAATTTATAATAATATAAATATGTACATTAATAGTACTAAATACATAATGCAAATATGTACATTAATAGTACTTAGTTATAAATTTAAATAATATAAATATGTACTTAGTTATAAATTTATAATAATATAAATATGTACATTACATAAGTATGTTTTTAATTATATTTAAATATAACTCTACATTAAATATAAGTATATTTAATTAACTTAAGTATATTTAAATATAACCCAGCAAAATAAATAATAAATTTACTACTTCTTAGTAATTTCTATCCAGTGATATTATTCCAGCGACCCCAGTTTAAAAAGAAAGCGACGAGTTATTGTACACGATTTGGTCACTCGTTATGGTCCGTAAATTAGTTGCCAGCGCAGGGAGTTAAGGGAAGATTGATAATGCTGTTTATATGGCCCGTTGCAGCGGGAAAATAATTTCCACGGTGGGAGGGAACCATGGCAAACTGATTATAAGTGAGCAGTTCCTACGGCTCGGTGGAAAAAGTTGATCATGTTGCGTAAAGTATAACCGTTTGACTACAGCGTACTTCTTTGTAGAATTCGCCTTTGTAGGCGAAGTTCTCGAAAATATTATTTAAAAAAAACGCGCTCCAGTCGAAATTAATGGGGTTTACTTTCAAAGTGGCATAAGTCAATTTGTTTTTAAATCGAGATATTTAACATACCTGGAAGAATCGATGCTAACTTTCGAAAAGATTCACTTGCATTTGTCATCTCGGATACTTATATTTTTCTCGGTGTAAATAATTTTGCGCGGGCGTTAACGAACTGCCATTTTTATTTGTCACTTTCAAAATAAATAGTTCAGATGATGTTAATTATTTGCACCCCTCTCCTCCACTTTGAGATCCAAAAATTTCTGAAATATACTGAAAAACTCTGAAAGATACTGGAAAACAATTGACAATATTATCTTTTAGTTCAGGGAATCTTCAAATGTTACAAACAAAAGATTTTTAGCGCCGGTCATTCGAAACCCATGAAACGAAATTTGAACATCGAACTTAACTAAAAGTTGGCAAGTAGATGTTAGACTTAATCCTATGCCTAATGTATTCCAAAAAAAAGATGCTGGATTCGAGTAACAGGGTCGCTAATGGATCAAATTCTCCGGCGTAATTTTACGTTTTAAACAATTGACTGCGTCGGTGGTAGAAAACTTTCGCGAGTGGAGAAAACAGGACCGGCGACGGTAGGAAAAGAAAACGTTCAAACCGACTTCATAATCGTGCTGCAATTACCATCGTGCCGTCGGACCGGTGAATTTTTCGCGAGAGAGAAAGAAAGAGAACGTCCATGAAAGGACAGCTCCATTTGGTAAATTGCACGACGAATGGAGAACTTCGTGCTTGAAACGTCGACGAGTAATTAAGCCTTGTTTGCGACTGTTAACAGTCTAAAACAGAAGGAAAAAAACAGAAGTTTTGAGAAAAAGAAGAAATTTGAGAAATAGAGGGAAAGTTGTCGCGGAAAATGATACACGCGCTTGTTTTGGCGCGTGCAGCGATTGTTCTTCCCTCGCGAGAATTAATGCAAACGTAAAAAAGACAGATAAAAGTCTTCGTCAGAAATTCGAACTCCGCCAACGAAATGTAAAGAGTGCTCTTTGTGAAAATTTGTCGTTGTCAGAAGGAGATTAAACAAATATTAACCAAATATAAAAATTAAGTCTTCAAAAAATTAAATATCATTGCTCAATAAATCTAATAGCTTATTCTATTAGTCCATTATCATTACACGTCGTATTGTCCAATAAAACGATACGCAGTCAAATATATATCTATAATTAAAAAAAAAAAAAGAAAAAAATGAAGAGGAGATGAAAAGCTATAATTTTTCAAACCTTTAATAAGAGGAGGCAAGGTTAATATATATGGCTTTCGAACTTATCCTTTCCATTAACGGCGTTGAAAAATAGCAGTAAAATAAATGGAGCATTGCCTGGGAGAAACAAATCGAAATTTAGACCTTTTGATGCTTTACAATTCAAACAGGATAGAGAGCTCGTTAATTTTCCCCGGCCAATTTAATCTCGGAAAATATTCAAATTCGTAAAAAAATGTTCAAATAACGGTTAAACATTTAAAAATATTATAGAACTCTTTATTATTGAATGAATCGATTGAATGTCGAATGTAATAACTGACAATTTATTTCCCAAAGCAAATAATTTCGATAATTCGTACGATGGAAGAGGAAATAAATGAAGAAAATTATTGTATTTTGCGAATTATTAATTTATTCTGTTCTTTTTGATTTTAAATGTATTTCTATTTTTCAACTCCACATTTTTTCAATTCCAAACTTTATTGAGAATCAAATAATAAAATAATTCGTAAAGTTGCATATATATAATATTATTAACAACTTAAAAACCATTACATGTATAAAAGTTTACTATAGCATATATCTTTAAATTGGGAAATTGATAATATTAAATAAATGGAAAATGAAGGATAGAAAAATATATTGTACTGATAACAGTATTACTTGATATTATTAACGTATTAATATTAAAACAAAATCATGGTAATCATTAATCAATTAATCATTCCTAAGGTAAATCAATTATCGTGATTATATTTAATAATTATTACCTGATTTATAATCACCATTCAATAATTCACATAATCAATTCATTATCTTTAATGAATCTTTTACTATTTAATATCATTATAACTATCATAAAACTAAATCTCCATAATCGTTACGTGATTAATGATTACTGAGCTGAGCATGCACACTGATTAAATTTGCTTTGATTATTTCGATTCGATATATCGATTCATTAATCGTGGACACGTATTTCACGTTAGTTAGATAATTGTTAATCATCAGTCAGATTAATTTTTCCCCAACTCTGCCCAACGTTGGTTCTTTATCGATTCAATATTCGTTTTGTATTTTATCATACATGAGAAACGATATATATCTGAAGTCACGAAATATCGTTTGTTAATAAAACGAAACAGAATGCACAATTGAAAGTTCGAGTAAAGTTGCCTCGATGAACTATAAATATCCTGCGATCAAAGATACGACAAGAAAATTTATTGTTCGTAAAGCAATAGCTGTTAATGAAATATCGTCCTTCGAAATTGGATGAAACTAGCAGGCGATCAAATACACGCTAGCTCGTAAAAACTAACGGAAGAAATTGTTCTTTTTGGTTGGCAAAATTCATTCATCGAAGTTTTATCAGCTTAACGAATGTAAATTTGATTTTTGTTACTTACATTTACAGCTATGTGCTAAAAATTAAATTTTATACACGAAGCTAAGTTTTATATTTGTCTCTATCTACTGTGAAACTGTACATTATGTTTGCTATGAATTACTATGAAGATTCTTTTTTATTAATTTTTACGTTCTGTATATTCAAGCTGATACATGATTGTACATGATCTAATAATCCGTAAAATAAATCGTTGAATGATTGTAATTAAAAAATTGTTAATTTTTGAGTATTTATATGAAATTTAAAAGTAATAAGAAATTTAAAAAAATATGCAAATTGCATATATGCATTGCAGTAATATATATGTATATAATATCCAAAGTAAAATTCTTGTTATGATTATTTTTGACACGTAAAACAAATCTCTATTTGATGTACATACATTTTGAGCTCTTTTGGTTATGTTTATAAAAATATATAATTATTTACGTTTATAATGAATATAGATGACTTACCTCTTAAATATTATTGTGACCATGATAAAACAGATTTTTGTAGCTCTCTCGTAGCTTTCAATATTTTCACTATTTACATAGTGAGTCCATATTTTCGTATCCAACTCCGTAATAAAGTCAATATCTTTACGTTTCCAGAAGACAATAACGCAATGAAAAGTATCGAAAAGAAATTGAAGGATTTCTCTCGCGCTTCGTCAACCCATAATAAAACAGCTGTCAAAGCAATGATAGATCTTTGGCTCTCGGGATTCATTTTTCATCGAAGTTCGCTCGAATAATGCATCATTGACCCTGGAACATTAATCGTTATTTCTGCAAAATCTTACAAAGACTTTATGCCACTAACTGTCGTCGCCCCTATTATTAACGTAACAATTGGTTTAAAATACTCGATAACGATTAAAAAAAAGAAATAAAGTAGTGCGTCATACTTTAAGTCTTAATGGCACATATTGATCTTTTTAAAAGACATTTATTCATCACGACAGCTTCCTCGTAAAAAATATTTGGAAGGTTAAATTGAATTTCAAATTTTCAGAATAAATTGTACACTTTTAATTATGTTGCGCTAAACATTCATAGTGATTTCGTTCTTTTCCTTTTTTAATATTTTCATCACTTTAAAAGCTTCTATAAGTATAATCTAAAAAAATAATACAGATTACCTGGAGAATGCGAGAATAAATTATTTTTCCTTCATATCTCATATTTTGACGTGTATTATTGTGCGATATTTATTTCATTATTCTTATTGTCGAATATCCCCTGTATTATTGTATCAATCATTTATTTCCACTCGCTGGGATCGTCCTATAATAAAAATACAATTTTACAAGATGGGTACTAAATAAATAACTCGCTTTCGAGTCTGGCTGTATTAAAGCGGAACTAGCGAAATAAATTGTAGGTAATTTCTCGCGATAACGATCACGAATCATAATTCCTGTAATAACAAATTTCCCGAGACAAAATCGGATTAATTTCAACTCGGACGGCACATCGAGCGAAATTAATTTTGATAATAGGACAACGATAATAACGTTGAATGCCCGTTGCCGGTGAATAATTTACTTAAAAATGAGAGATGCTCGAAACTCGAGAACCTGTCAGACATTTGAAAATCTTGATCCTATTTCTTAGAAATTGCTTCGAGGCAACCGTAATCTGGTGTCGAAGCGAGGACTCGCCAGGTAGATCTCGAAGGCAAGCCAACTCGAGAGACCTCATTTCCTTAAAAGCTTAAATAACAAAGCTTAGATTTAAAAAACCGTAACTTCCTCGAGAACAGAATTTATTGAAAGAATTAATTTTCACGAGAAAAAAATCTTATTCAAAGATTTAACTAAATGTTTGTGCGTTTGTGTATTTACCAATTCTTGCGTGTACACAGCGGAAATGATTTTACTTTGCTTTGTTCTCCAAGTACAAGTAAAAATACAAAAGACAGATTTTGTTCTCGCTAAATAATTCTAAATAATTAACATTTTAAGAACTACTGAATACTGTCGGTGGATATTATTTGGCAGAAACGACTATCGATGAATAAATTCATTCTATCTCGGTAAATTTTATTTGACAGAACGAAACTAATAATTTACATTATTCCCTAATTATTCATCGATACAAAGTTTGTAGTCGCGTCTCATATGTTACAATCTTATAATCTTGGTAAAATTAATTTATTTTATGAACCGTAAATTTTAAAAGTTTTAATTTACAAGATTTTAAAATATAAATTTTAAAATATAGATTTTATAAATTTCGCATATTCAACAAATCCGTCGCATTCAAACATTCAAGCTACAGATACCGTAACTCGCATCGTACACTCTTTAAAACACGAATTGCGAACGTACCAAAAAAAAAAAAGGAACGAGAATTAAAACATTTTATCGATTTCGTTGCAACATTCTATTTTTATACAATATTTTAAAGGATATTATCTTTCCCCTTTCTCTCCTTCTCATTCAATTACTCCAGTTTTCTATATCCCTCTCCCACCTTTCTCTCTCTCTCTCTCTCTCTCTCTCCCTCTTTCTATTCTCTCTCATTCTCTCACTCTTTCCCCGACACGATATTCCACGTATCTGAAAATCGCATTTAAACATGAACAAAGATAGCAGCCTCTCGAGTAAATTTACTCCAGAAGCTGGCGTAACATATTTTTCTTCCCCCTTTTAGTTCCTGATACCTTCTACCATTGAAATTCGTTTTTCGACGACAGTTTATTTTATGAGAAAGTGGGCAGAAGTAGAGTCGTAAGTTCACGTGCCCACGTAGTTATTCAAAAGGAAGATGACAACGAAGCCAAGGATCACGGAGAAGAACTGTAGAATACCGGCAGACCGTCGCGGATTTCTGTGCCATCTCGCTCTCTCCCTTGGCAAGATCTCGCTAACCGTCACGTACAATAATGTTCCACCTGCTATACCTTGCAGAATTGGTACAGCTACCTCTGTCCATTTGTTCTTCATCTAGACAAATCGTCATGCAAATTATTATTTTCCATTGCTACGATTCGACAGAATTGTAACTTCCTAAACTTTGGGAAAAATAAGAGAAATAATAATAAAAATAAGAGAAAAAATAATATCGGAATATTAGTAGAAGAAACTTTTGAATATGAAATCTACACGTTTCTTTTTTCTCATCTTAAATGCAATTGAATGCAATTTAAATAAAACACGCAGTTACATCGTAAATAACAGAGATGTATTTAAATATCAGACCTATTCCCTTGTTGTTGCAAATCCTCGTACGTTAAAGATATTTTAAAAATATTAAAAATCCTTTTCTCAATTGAAATGAAGATGAAAGACGTAAGATTCAACGATCGTAACAGGATTAGATTTTTTTGAACAAATAACTTCACATCTCAATTGAATCAAACACAAGTGGAATATTTGTTTTTTCAGTTCGAGCAGTAGCTGCGAGAGATTAGAATTTCTTTTTGTTTTTTAAATTAAAACAGCTAAATTTGAAATTACTAGCCTTCTTCGAAAATAAACACGATTAAGCTTAAACTTTAAATTATTTCTTCAATTTTTACATTTAAATATAGGACGAAGAAATAGAATTTGAACGAGATTTGATCAAAAAGCTTAGATCAAAACTAAGTCGAATCGAGGAAAATTTCTTACTTACATTGAACGTTAACATTCCAATTCCTATACCAATTGCAGATCCAGCGGAGAACACAAAGATCGCTAGTACGAGCCTAGGAATGGTACTGTCGGCCCCGGCTAATTCTACTCCTAAACAAAATCCGACGACGAACTTGTGGGAAGCCACTGCTCCAACCAACAGAAACACCTGTAATCGAGAATACAGTGAGTGAAAACGTACAAGAACGTGTTGCATTAAAACAATAAATAATTTATATACATATTTGCACGGTGGTGAGAATTTCAAGTTGGAATTAAAATTCCCTCTTCCTAAAAATGAAATTAGAAAAGGGAAACTGTTTATAACAGAAAAAAACATATTGAACAAATATTCTTGAAATTCCTCTTCCTAATCACAATGTAAATTCAATATAATTCGTTGCTCTGTCGGTCAAAAAGAAATTGCAAATGTGATAACGTGATGTTGTAACTTCCCAGTTTTAATACATTAAAGTGACGCGAGTGAAATTAAATTCTCCCACAAATCTCCTACAAACGCATAATGAGTATCAAATCATGATTTGTATTTATACTAACAACAACCAGGTGTACACACCTCGGATGTAACCTTTTGTAGGCCAACCGCCAGCCCCTCGAGGACAGCGTGGACCGTGAGCGCCAATAAAAGACCCACGAGGTTGGTGTTGGAATCTGCGCACGGCTCTGAATGATTGCCATGGCATAAAAATGTCTCTTCGTCGTTGTAACGAGCCGGCGCGCTCGCGACATACTGCGTCGCCCCGTAGCTGGTGCTTTTCCAGTTGCTAGCCGCTCCGTTTCCGTCTAGACTCGTCTGAGAAGACGATTTCGGATTAAAGTCGGACGTGGGGATGCCTCTGGCAGTTCGCGTGGCTGCGGCATAGCACACATGATGCGAGTGACTCCGGCATCGTTCGCTGCAACGCAAAAATCATGATTGACTTTCACGTTACGTACGACTGACCGGTTCATCAGTCGACCTCGATATGCAACTGGTATAAATGAAATTTCAATTGATCTCTGTTAGAAAGAAACTCGATTTATCATCCTTTGTTAGAGAAAATACTGCTTGAGATTGTTTTTTTCTTTTTTTTTTTTTTAAGTTTTATTCTGTTTCAGCCAGTTTAGTGATAAAATTCTTTTTATTTTAGATCGCTAAACAATGGTCGAACTCGTTTTCGTTTGTATCGCGACTTGAATCGAAGGACCTGTTATTTGTGAAGAGAAAAATTGACGATGATACTGCACGTAGATATCATCAAAGTCTAGTATGACGAAACTATATGTATGTAAATAGTATATTAAATCATTTACAATTTGTCTCGATTGAGACATTCGTTATTCTTTATTAATAGTAATACTAAAGAATCGAGCCTGAAAATTGTTTCGTACAGTAAATATTATTGAAAGCACTGTATTTTGAATGTTTTACACATTTTTTCGTATTACCTGCATTCGGTGTAAGTTCACATTGTGAAATTTCCTACAGATGCATAAATATCAATAGTTTATTAGTAATAAATTAATGTTAATAATATTTTTTGTTGAAAGTGAAATATCAGAGTAAAACAAATTGATAAATGTAAAATTTTCAGCGAGTTGCTGTCGCGGATTATACAACATAAAAAGAACAGACATTATTCGCTGAATATTTCTCATCATGATGAAAGTGGGTCACAAAATAAAGGTAAAACATTAGTAAAACTTCATTCACTAGTGAAACTTAAGAATATTCTTTAAAAACAATTTAATTAATTATTTATCTTCTTTCATTGTATGAATAAAGATAACTAATATGTGCTTTTTCTGTGTCTTGTTATATGTATTGTCTTGAATCTACTAATTTTGGGCAATATTAATTAATTGTATTATTTCATGAATTCAAATAAAAATATTTTATAGATATTTCAAAATGAAGTTTAGATTTGAAATAGGTTGATCTCTCGAAGAAAATCAATTATTATTGAATTATCAAATCACTTCGAAACAAAAAAAAAAAGATGATATCAGTAATTAAGTTTCAAAGTTTAAACGATTCTTAGTCGTAATAATTAAATTAAATAATAAATCAATCTTTATGATTTAATACTTAAGTTTTATTCAATTTCTTGCGTATTATGGTTGTTTTGCCAAGGTGATAAGAATAACAAAAGAGTAACACAGTTATCAGAAGACAAGTGTAAGAACTTGTATCGAGTTTCTTGCTCTCCGTTCGTCATTAAAACGTTTATAAAGACTGTGTCATTTAAACTATCAAAAGAGTGAACTAGTTAAAGAGATGTCACTTTGCAAATAGAGCTGTAATATATGAGTTAAAATTATCGTTGCTATCAAGTTATTATTAAAAACTATATACTATGAGAAATTTTCAATTTAACTTTAAAAGAAAGTTAAGTACTTGAGATAAAAAATAATTCTTCGGATAACAGATAACAGATCTTATCTATTAATAGATAAGTAACTTCCATACGCTTGGTCAAGAAACTTTTTGCATTACGATAATTAAATTAGATCCGATCGAAATTAAATACACAAGATCAAAGTTAACTTTTTCAAAATAACCAGTGATTTGTGAAACCTTTATCGAAATATCTACTTCGATTTATTGCTTATTCTTACATTCTGAGTAACATATCAAATACTTTAAACAGTACTCATATAAAAAACATTTAATGTTTAATCATCATTAATCATCATATCACTATATAACAGCCTAATGAAATACTTCCAATGTATCTAACGTTCTCCACTAATCTTTTCTAGTAAATGATTTTCAATTTTCATGATGCATTTAAAACAAATTATACGTATACCTATACTACGTACGTCTGATTTCCATTGTTCCAGTCCAAATTCTCGTAACGACGTGCCTGCGAGATATGCCGATCGTCACTGCCCCAAAAATAATGGACACATTCGTCTATGAGGTAGAGAAGGAGAAAACCACTGGAAAAGAGTAATTCCGCATATTTGGATATAGACTCGCGAGTTTCCGGTAACATATGCAGAACAGAAGTTGCGAGCAGAACACCACCGCCAAAGCACAAAGTGCAGGAGAGAAACAGATTCTGTTGAAGATATCTCACACGCGAGACAAAACACGTCGGTGCAACGCCAACGACGAAGCTACCAACGCCGATGATTATCATCGACGCGAGCTTCGCCTGGACCACGGTAACCATCATTTTCCAGACAACATACAGAATATATCCACCATCGGCTGACACTGGCAGCAACACTTGTCCGAACGATTGACGCTAATCTGGCAAGCGTGATAAGGTCAATCGACTCGAGAGATACGAACGCGATCACGAGTTTCTCTCTCTCGAAAATTGATTATCGGGAAAATTCGATGGCTCACGCGTTTGAAAATGGGCACCACAGCGAGGCTGGTGATTGCATTATTATCTGTCACTAACTACACACCGATCGGGATTCGGTAACAGCCGTCAATGATAAATGACAAACTATAGGGAACACGTAACAGTGACCGAAAGCGATCCAGAAATGGAGGCGGCATCGATCAAAGTTTCATTCGATAACCTTCTATAACGAGCGCTCTTTAATAAGAAACTATCTCAAGCGCTTGAAGTATTTTTGTGAAATTGGAATAATATTTCTATGGGATATTTTTTAACGTTATATAGTAACTTCGTACATGTACTATACGGATATATGAAAATAGTAATCGTTTGTTACTGTACGACATAAATAATAAACAACATGAATTGTAATATTATAATTATTATAAGATTATAATATAATAACTAGTTTGTGTAACATTTACTTGGCAAATTTTCAAGTTCGAATTTTTCGGAAAACGAAACCTCGAATGAAAAAATTTTATTTCTTTCCTTCGACTCATTTTTGCATCTAGAATCACCTTTCATTGTTCATGGTGTATATATATATAATTTTTTTTTATTTATATCTTTTTAGATTAACAAACTTCTAAAAAAACTTCGGATTTTTAATACCACAGCCGCAATGAAACATTTGAACTCGTTTAGACATAAAATAGAAATCAAGTGAATCACCATAAATGATTCTTTCTATAAAAAGAATTAGTTTCTCATCTTCTATAATTACAATCATTTCTCTCGTAATCCCCAAAGCAAAACAAATTGTAAAATTTGATATATTATTATTTTTATATTTTGTATAAAATTAAATATATTCTTACCGAACTCAACTGTAATAACTCAATAATCTCAAGATTCGAAACGATGACTTATAACTTGGATCAACACGTGTCGTGCAGAGATGAGAAGTTCCCCGAAAAGAATGTGGGTCTGGTTGGTTATTTCCAATCCATTCTTAAATTTAAGAATACCTATTGGTTGAGAGTGTCATGCAGAACAAACAAAACCTACTGGGTCGGTTACTGAGAGAAGGAACTGCTTCCTTTGCTCTTGCATGGGATTTTTCATTTGTGTACATAGATACAGCTATATATAACTGAAAATATACAATTTGCAATTCGTCAGTAGATAGTACTAAAGGTGAAATTTTTGCAGCGGATGATTTTATGTATAATGTAAGGTTATAAAAGATATAGAAGGTGGAGTGTATTTCATCTCCGAGTCACCGCCAGATTCATCAATAGGGCTGATGCCGGCGACCTCTAACCTCAGACGCTCGGTTTATTAGGAACATCTAGTTTGGGCAAAGAACCGGTACCCATCCTAGAAATGTTCCGCACGCTGCACGCTTAACCTAAAAAGATTGCACTTGATCCGTAGCTAAGCGGCATCCACTTACAATTTGTAATATTCGTGTCTTTGGAATCTTTGTATACTAATAAAAGACTGGATCTGCTAGCCGCTAGAGGCATTAAAATACTAGCGTCGCGTAGCGGTGAAACGGTGGAATTAATTTATATTGTTGTCCTTATCGCACGCTGTTGCCCTCTTTGTCTACCGCGCCAATATATCTGCCCTTGTCTATCGCGCGCACATGTCTGTCCTTATTGCACACTAGTGCTCTCCTTGTCTAATGACGCTAGACAAGGAAAGGAATAGTATGCGACAAGGACATCTTTCGATCTATTGAAAAAGAAATTCAACTTTATACACACACGTTTTTCTAGGACAAAATACACATAGAAAGAAAGCGGGGAGTCTAATTTTAAGAAAGCATATAAAAAAGTTCGCAAATTATTAGGTTTAATTAGGTTTTTTTCGTAATTAGTGCGAACTGTCACAAAGTGGACATGGTTGCGCCATCTAGCGGTAACTCAGTGGTACTAATAATTTATAAAAATACTTATTTCTGCATTTTACGGGTCAAATGGGGTATGAAAAGAAAGCTTAGGGTCTAATTAGGGTAATACAATCACAAAATTTCATGATTCATTTCACTAAATTAGGTTTTTTCGCAAATGAAAATCTCTCTGACTTACGGGGTAGGAAACACTAGCGCTGCTGTGGCAGACAGGTGAAACTAAACGCCCTAATACCATATAAGGGGAATAATTAATTTAAATTTTTCACGCTACTAATTTGCACTCCACGAGCACATACTTCAAAGATAATGCTATCAGTTACGTCCGCAAATAAATCTGAATCTAATATTCACTATAGTTTGCGCGAAATTATGCACTCACTACTAACGTAAGCGAAATTGAAACATTCTTTATACACGTAAACTATACTTAAACAAAACATAAAACGCAAGCTTAGGATCTCCGACATCGAAGACGCAACCATAACAGTTCACAAATGATTCCTCTTAATTAATTTCTTCTCGTAATTTGTGGAAAAACAGTCACCTGTAAATGTTTAAAAGTAACGGTGGCGCCATCTATTGATAACTTTATACTAAAAACAGAATTTTTTACTTTTAAGAATTGTCAATTCATAGAAAGATATAAATATATTAATTTAAACAGTCATATAATAGAGCAAATAATTTGAATTGAAAATAAAAAATGTTTTTTAAAAAAAATATAAACTGTATAATTATGAAACAAAGGGTTATGTTCTGTTAGAGGTTATGTAGTATACAAAATCATGATTAGTATATTTACATTTGCATAAAACTTTACTATCAGTAAAACTGTACAAATAAATAAATAATAAATAATTAATATCAGTTGGTATAATGAAATATTATAAATATACCGTTAAGGTTATGTTACGTGAAGTGTTAATTTGAAATACTTGAAATAATTAAAACATGAATCCACGACACAAATCAACTAATAAATTTGAATCTAAATATCAACATAATCGATATGATCAATACGATGAACAAAGGAAAAATAAACATGATTTAAATAGTACAAATTGTGATAAAAGAGTCATGGATAAGGATTGTGAAGACTTTTATTTTAGTAAATATAAGCATGAATTAAATAAAGTGTTCTCAGGGAACTTAAATATAATTCAGGATATTGATGATTTTTGGAAATTTGTAAATAAGTATGAAACCGTACAGAAAAAACTAAAAACTCCTGACAGTCTACCTAATTTCTCGTTAAATACTATTGGTATACCAAAAACATATCACAAGTTACATTGCATAAATTTCAAATTGAGTTATAATTTTAATGAATTATTTGCACGTGTTGTACCAGTTAAAACATTGACAAAAGAACGCTTACTGAAGTTTCAAAACATAATTATTTTATACTTGGATTTCAAACAAAAAGAAAAGTTCGCTAAATTAAGAAAGCTTAGGAAATCACAAGAAAATCTACCAGTTTATCAATATAAACATGAAATCATTGAAACAATAAAACAAGAACAGGTAGTTATAATAGCTGGTGATACTGGTTGTGGAAAATCCACCCAAGTGCCTCAATATTTATATGCAGCAGGTTTTCAAAAGATTGGTACATATAATTATTTAATACAAATATAATATAGTATTTTATTACAAATATTATAATAAACAAACTATAATTCTAACACGTAATATCATAAAAAATATTTTTTGAAGCTTGTACACAACCAAGAAGAATAGCATGTATATCTTTAGCAAAACGTGTTGCCTTTGAAACATTAACAGAAAACTACAATAATGTTGGGTACCAGATTCGTTTTGAAAAGCAAAAAAATCAAAATACCAAAATTACATTTATAACGGAAGGTCTTTTGTTGAGACAGGTAAAAATAAAAATATAATAAGTGTCCAATTTGTATATTAAACAATATAATATATTTAATATTACCATATTGTATATTTTCTATAGTTATCTGGAGAATTTGAATTATTGCCTTATGATGTAATTGTTTTGGATGAAGTGCATGAACGTCATTTACATGGAGATTTTCTTCTTGGTATTATGAAGTGTATTATTAATCAAAGGCAAGACTTAAAATTAGTACTTATGTCTGCTACAATTAATATTGAACTTTTTAACAATTATTTTGCCAGAGAAAATGTTAAAGTAATACAGGTACATTTATAATTATTTAACTAATAAATGTATTAAGAAAGATATAATAATAACAATTAATTAATTTATAGGTTCCTGGAAGATTATATCCTATTCAGCTATTATACAGACCTGTTATTATAGAAGATATTCGATATAAAAATGATAGATTTAATCCAAGTCCTTATCTACAAATAATGCAAATGATTGATCAAAAGTATCCAGGTAAACAATTTTACCTATTACTAAAAAAAAAATTTATTTTACTTGTATTATAATAGTAGTTGATGTTTTTAGCTGAAGAAAAAGGTGATTTATTGATATTCTTAAGTGGAATGAGTGAAATTACTGCAGTTGTAGACGCAGCAAAAGAATATAGTCAGAAAAAAAACAATTGGATTATCTTACCACTTCATAGTACTCTTGCCATTAGTGAGCAAGATAAAGTAAAATTTTTTATATATATATTTTTTTTTTAATTTGTAACTTTGGCATAACTGATGTTATATTTTTATTTTTGAAGGTATTTGATTATGCTCCTGAAGGAGTGAGAAAGTGTATTGTATCTACTAATATTGCTGAAACTTCTATTACTATAGATGGAATAAGATTTGTTGCTGACAGTGGAAAAGTAAAAGAAATGAGTTATGATCCATCATGTAAGATGCAACGACTCAAAGAATTCTGGATTAGCAAAGCTAGTGCAGAGCAAAGAAAAGGAAGAGCTGGTAGAACTGGACCTGGAGTATGTTACAGGTATATATGCAGTTCATATTATTTTCGTGAATGTACCAGAAGAATTTAAATTACAAATAAATCATTGTAGATTGTATTCTGAAGAGGAATATAAGTCTTTAGAAAAATATTCAACTCCTGAATTACAACGTGTACCTTTAGATTCTTTACTTTTACAAATGATTGCAATGGGACTTCCAGATGCACGAAAATTTCCATTTATAGAACCACCATCGGCAGAAAGCATTGAAAATTCTATATTATCTTTGAAAGAACATGTTAGTATATTCATAAATCAATACGAGCGTGATTAATATAGGTAGAACAAAGTTTTCAATTTATAGGGTGCATTAACGGATAATGAAAAAATAACTTGTATTGGAAAGACACTTGCCCGCTTACCAGTTGATATAACAATAGGCAAAATGTTAGTAATGGGTTCTATTTTTCACCAAGTAGAACCAGTTTTATCATTAGCTGCTGCTTTAAGCATACAAACACCATTTACAAATAGAGCATATAGGGATTCAGAATGTGAGGTAATCAAATATAATTTATAAATTTTTTTCATATAAAAAAATTAAAATATGCTGAAAAATAATTTTGTAGATATCTAGAAAAAAATTGGAATCTGATCACGGCGATCCAATAACATTACTAAATGCATTTAGAGAATGGTTAGAAGTAAAACAACAGAGTTCTCAAGAATCCAGGGGTAGTGGTGGTAGTAGTAGAAAATGGTGTAAAAGAAGAGGTTTAGAGGAACAAAGATTTTATGAAATGACAAAATTGAGAGCACAATTTAAGGAATTACTTCAGGTAAACTATTACTGCTCCCTATAATATTACCTTATTAAACTTTCCTCAATAGTTGATTGCTTCATCAGATTATTATTACTAGGACTGCAAATTATTGAGAGGTCTCCCAGAACCAAATTCTTCTATGTCTAGTGCAGAACGTGCTATAAGACATGGAGAGCTTAAACTTTTAAAATCCTTAAAAAGAACTTACAAACAGAATGAACCCAGAAAAAGAAAACAATTAAAGCTAGAATCCTTTGATATTCAGTTAGAAAATAATGATCACGATGATGGTGAACTCGATATAAAAGATATTGAATTTCGAATGAAAAATGATTCAAATCAAGTGCAAAATCTATTAACAGCCGCTACTGCTTGTAGTTATAAAGATTTAACAATGTTGAAATTAATACTTTGTAGTGGTTTATATCCACAATTTGCGTGTGCCGATGAATTCAATTATTGTAAGGTATATTATCCTAAAATAAGCTAATTATTCATTAATAAATAATACGAACTTTTGCAGACAACAAATGAACAACTATTTCATACAAAAGCAAAACCATATATTGCCTTGCATCCAATGAGTTTCTTTGGAAATCATCCTCAAGTATTGGAATTAGAGGAAGCTGATATTGTATCAATATCAGGTTTTAAAAGTAAAACTCCCGTTAGTCCAAAACATACAATATTAACATATTTGTAAGCTTCTAATAATATTTTAAAATAGTATAAGGCAATTTCTACTTTGATTAATCATGTATTAATTTAATAGGGCTCTTTTGGAGACAACAAAACCTTACCTAGTAAATACACTTAGAATGCCTGCAGCACAAACATTACTTTTGTTTACACGTGAAATCGATACAAACAGTACATTTTCAATGTATATACGTATATATATATTATATATATAATGAAAATTTAAACAGAATATTTTGTTGTATGATTTATCTATTTACTTTTTACAGAATAGTATGTGATTCCTGGTTGGAATTAAAATTTCCTGTACCTGATAGTGGCCAAACTTTACTGATAAAAGCTACAAAATTAAGAAATAAATGGGAGTTTTTACTAAATCAACGATTACAAGGTATTAATAATTAAAATATGTAGAAAATATGAAGTTAATGTGTATTCTATATTGCAATTTATTTCTTTGTATTGCAATTTACATTAGACATTAGACATTAAATGTAATAAATATTTTGCAGATTCAAATACTAATAATGACGAAAATCAGGATTTCAGTGAATTTGAATACACACTTACTCAAGAATTAATTGAATATATGCATACTACTGTTTCATATACATTAAAACGACTTTTACCAGCTGATCTTAAAACAATATATGTGGAAAGTGGTGAAAACAATATATCAATAGATCCAAATCCTTTTCAATCAGATTTTGTAGCAATACCCAACGCAATTAAAGGAGGAGTTCATGTAACAAATACTATTACTTACAATTGGTAAATTAATATTTTTCTATAATAAAATTATATCTAATAAAATAAAAAAAATTATATCTCTTTTTCTCAGTTTAAGAGAAACTGAATGGAGTGATCAACTTTCTACAGAAATTTTAAAAACAGAATGGCATTGTCCCAATTGTGACATGCAAGTAATTTTAACAAGCATAGAAAAATTACAACACCAACAATCCTGCATTAAAACAAGTGTGAAAGATATTGAAAAGCATGACAGTATTAAACGCAAACCTAATACACAAATATATGAATGTCTAGATTGTGCACAAGTATTATACTTGACACCAATTGAAATTCTTAAACATAAAAAATCTCATGTTAAATAAAGTATTCATATTGTCATTTAATAATTATTGAATAATTTGTATCTAGAAATATAATTATTTACTTAATAATACAATAATGTACATTATATTTATATTTAATTATACGTTTTTTGTACAGTGACATTTTACATTTTTTGTACATATATTCATATGTATATTCATTACAATATGCGCATCTATATAAACTATGTCCATGGTAAAAAGTTTGAAAACATAAAACAACCTACAATTCCATATCCTAGAAAATAGGAAAATATAAGTTTATCCTTCAAACTGTACTCCTTCTTTGTTAAGAAAAATATTTTCCATTTAGAAAATACGTTTTCCTTCTCATCATATAAATTATCATTATTATAAGATGTATAGCATATTAATAAAGCACAATACCAATATATTAAAGGACTTGCTGAACTTATTAAACGAGTACTTACTTGAATATGTACAAATAAAATACAAAAAATATTTAAAAATAAACCATGAATAACAAATACTAACATTTCAATTGGATATTTTTTTCTTTCAGTTTGTACATTATCTTCAGTATTTTTAATAAATCCTAATGTATAGAAATACTTTTTATGTTCAAAAAAAAATTCTTTTATACATTTCATCATAATATACAATATTGGAAATGCTAAGATAAAATTTGGTATTTGTTTTATTTCATAATAATTCAAAAATCCCAAATTCCAATACTTCTTTTGTATATAAGAATATGCCATTGGAATTTTTAAATGACACCATTCTACATAACTATTACCAGGTAATACTAAATTATTCATTATACCGAAATTAACAATATGTTCAGGAATAAATATTAAATTTAAGTTAGGAATGCAAAACATAAGATAATTATGTATTTGTAGTAAAATAAATGGAATTATTGATATAATTATTATATTAAACATTATACAAAAACTTTTTAAAGTGCTTGCTTTAAACATAAATTGACAGAATGTTTTTAATGAAAAGTTTGCATGTTTTTTTGAATAATCATAGGATAATTTTTGCAACTGATAATATATAGGAAAACCAATATTAATCACACCATTAGATCTTGTAAGAATGGATAAACTTATTGGAAAAGATACATATGGATCTAATTTAATGGATCTTAACATACTATAATACGTTAAATATGCAAATAAAGATTCTGAATAAGCAGCTGAAAAAAATATGGTAGCTGGATTTATGCAATACAATATTGCAGCTTTATAAGCTACATTTGTTGTTTTTAACACTGTCTTACTGAGATCATAAAATATAACAGCAGATTTTACAAAACATATAACATTAACTAACATAGCTGCAATAAGTACAGAACTATGAATATTTAACACAAAAAATATATTCTTTATGGGAACAGAAATAATTCGAATTAACAAAGGATACAATGGATAAAAAGCTAAAGTATTTTCATATGTATAACCATATTTTGCAATATGTAAAAAATATTCACCATCCCATCGTGCAAGACCGCCAAATAAAATTGTTATTAAACTGTCATATAATGAAATTTGTTCAGAATTATCAGTAGGACTTTTAAATGCATCTGCATCATGATCAGGACATAACAAATTAAAGATAAATTGTAAACTTAAGACTATTATTCTACTAATTATTGCAAACCAAAAAATTTTCCTTCGTGCTTCATACATTCTTTAATATAATATAGTAATATTTTAATTTAATATTACTTGTATTAATTATATTTATTTTATTAAAGTTCATTCCAAATTTCTTTTCAATTGTTGATATAAATGTCTAGCAAACATTTTCTTATTGCAACATATAGATAAGATTTGAAATACATTATTTATGTAAGGTATTCCTTCTTCAACCCAAAATTGTTACATGACAAGAGTGTATAGCTAAAAATAAATAGTTAAATTACATTATTTTTTTATATTATATTTTCTTTATTTTTATTACATTATTTTTCAATATATTAGTTTATCAATTATCAAACACAACAATTAATTTTTAATTAAAATTAATTTTTTTTTTATATTATAAATATGACATACCTATGAAATTAAGTTATAAATGAATTTCTTTTGTACAATGATTTATATGTTCACATCGAGGTCATCAATGCAGCATTGGATTTAAATATTCTGAAAACAGGATTATACACACTGTCATCTCTAAATGAATCAACCTTTTAATATAACAAACCTTTTACATAACAAAAGAATTTTTAAAACTTAATTTAATAATGCAATTATTCATTCAATGTTAATATCCTAATATAACAGAATAAGAATTTTATTTTTTAAAGCCATAATATACATATATACATTCTAAATTCATTTTTACAATCACAAAATCATAAATTTATTCTATATGTTTAATTCTGTATAAATGCAATATTATTGCAGATATATGTATTTTATTAGCTTTAATTTATTGTAAATATATTTTGTTACACTATACAAAAAATTAAACAATTTTTATATTAAACAAAATTTTTTATAAATTTTTATTCTCAAACATGTAGTAGAATTATTTTTTTACACCACAAACTTTTTTAGCAAAATCTACAATATGATGATCTTTTGGTGTACATTCATATTCAATATTTTCTGCATATGGCATAGGTACATCAACTCCAGTGCAACGGACAGCTGGTGCATCAAGTTGAAAAAATACTGGATTTTCCATTACTGTTGCTATAATTTCAGAACCTACTCCACACACCGGCCATCCTAATTCAACACTCATAAGTCTGTGAGTTTTTGTTACAGATTTAAAAATTGCATTCCAATCTACTGGTCTAAGAGAACGTAAATTAATCACTTCTGCTTCTATCCCTTCTCCTGCCAGAATTTCAGCTGCTTGCATTGTGTACAAAGTTGCTTGACCATGTGCAATTAAAGTAATATCTTTACCAAGTTTTTCAATTTTAGCTTTACCAATAGGTATGACAAAATCTTTATCCATAGCTTCATCTGATACAGGAAATTCCGTATTATATAGAACTTCACTTTCTAACATTATAACTGGATCAGGATCTCGAACAGCAGCTTTTAAACTACCTCTATAATCTTCACAAGTTGTTGGTGAAAGAACTTTTAAACCAGGTACACTCATGTACCATGCAGCAAAACACTGAGAATGTTGTGCTGCTAAACCTTTAGCATTCCCATTTGGTCCACGAAATACTACAGGTACAGAATATTTTCCACCAGTCATATACAAATTTTTAGCAGCACCATTTACTATTCGATCAATAGACTGCATTGCAAAATTAAATGTCATAAGTTCACATATTGGTCTTAAACCAGCAAGTGCTGCTCCAATAGCTATACCACAAAATCCAGCTTCTGTTATTGGTGTATCTATTAATCTTTTGTCACCATATTTTTTCCAAAGATCTTTTGTTATTTTATATGCACCGTCATATTGTGCAACTTCCTCTCCCAAAATAAATACTTTTTCATCTCTTGCCAATTCTTCATCAAGAGCTGCATTTAATGCATTTCTTACAGTCATATTTGTAACAGATTTAGAACTTTGCCTTTGTAAAATACATCTCTTTGATAATATACCACTTCTTAAGAAGCATATGAAATGCATTTTAAAACATAACAATATAATTGTAGCGTAATATATGTTATATATTTTAAGATTGTAAAATTTAAGCTAGAACAATAATTTTCTATTTTCCTCTTTTGTATATTATAGGTTAGGTGATATACTTGTATAACAAATTACTTATATTAAAATATTAATCTTTTGACCAATATACATTATTAGTTATTAATGACCATTTTATTGTCCAAAGGGAAAATGTTTTGCATAAAAATTTAAAGACTACATAAAACTTATTAATTTCAATATATTTTAAACTTCATCCAAAATACAAAAATATAAAATCACTTTTCCATGGCCTACTTAAAACAATTACTGTTTTTGGAAATATAAATACATATACACGGTGTTTAAAACAAATTATCAGAATAATTTGCTCATTTGCTCACTTGAGGTTTTAGAGGTCTCCTTTACTTTTACAAATAAAATGATACATTTTTTTATCTATTAATCAATATAAGAAAAACAAAAGTTCTTGTATTCATACTCTATAATATTTTTATATAGTTAATACTTTTAATGCTTTTTATTATATTATAGAGGATTAATAACTAAATTTAAAAAATGTATCAGTGGATAAAAAAATATATTATTCCACTTTAAAAAATAAAGGTAATTTTGAAACTGTTCCATCTACAAAAAGACTTCTCTGTGAACAACTTTCATTAATAAAGTCTTTTATATTTCCAAAAACAATGAAGATATTTAGGTTCTTGTTTAAGTGTCATGTCTAATATACTTATATAAGTTTCTGATAGCAATATTAATAATGTAAAACAATATTTTTGTCACCAAAATTAATGTATTTTGTTAATATCATAAAAATAAATAAGGTAATATGTATTTCATACTAATATGAAAGAATATAAAGAAGTGATATGTGTATGTACATACACCAAGTTTTTAAATCTAACCTTTTTAAAAGTACATTTCTGAGAGTATTTTATTTTAATTCTAATATATATAAAGTTTAAATTTTTATCAGTATTATTATAATTGACTACACTACCCTAAACATAAAATACCAACGAGACTTAATAAAAGCTACTTTATATTAAATTAATAATGAATAAGAATCTCACCACTAATTGTCCATGAAATCATAATTCCAGAGATAGGCACGTGTTTATCCATTCATTACTTCTATCTGTAAATCAAATCAAAAAATAAGTCTTAATTTTTCATAATTCTTTACTCTTTTTTATAAAATTACAACTTATAAATAATATAATATTTAATTTTTATTTTTATCTTTATTGACATATTATTTAACAGTATAATAAAATTCAAGTAATGAGATTTAGTGACTTAATCAAATAAACTTGATTCAAATGAAAGTTTATAGTTTCACAAATAAATTCGGCTGTTATACATATATAGGATTCGATATTTTATTAATATACTAATTTATCATTTTTATTGCATTCATGCATATTTATATAGTTCGTCATCTTAATATCTACTGCATTGAATATTTTTCATATGCTCTTATGCTCAACTGTAAATATGATGTAAAGTCTTATATATGTATAATAACATTGTGCAATAAAACCATTAATAATTCATTAAGTACTCTTACGTATTTTCAGTATGACATAATCTCGCTTTTACTATAGAAAAATATAAGTTACAATGGATAAGGTTATGTTTACAAGTGTCATAGCTTTTAATAAATTGCTAAAAACAAGTCATGAAAATACAAAAATTTCAATTAAATTTCTACATACACGTAAGTACTTTCAAAATCAAATATAACATTGAATTTAACACTAATTTAACAAATTAATTTTTAGAATTTCAAGTTCTTTTTTCAAAAAAGAATGACACAAACGAAAGTCCAAGAATGCGCGAATTTAGAAAAAAATTAAGAGAACGTACCCCTATAGGTATTTTATTTCTGTTTAAAAAATTTACAGAAATTCATGAAAATAGTATTTATAAAATAAAATTGTTTAATATGCAACAGAGAAGCTGGAAGAACTGGAAGAAGGTAAACATCCTTATCAAGAAAAAGAGCCATTGAAACCATTTCCAAATAATACTAATCCAGAAACAGGCGAAGTAGGAGGTCCACGTGGACCAGAACCAACACGATATGGTGATTGGGAAAGGAAAGGTCGTGTAACAGATTTTTAAATATATTTAGTGTACATAAAAAGTATAGTGTCTATAGAAGTGTATATAGATAAAATAGTGTATACAAATAAAAACATAACTATGCAAGTATAAAAATAAAATTTAAAAAAAACGTGTATAATATAATAATTTAAATTAAAATAAAAGAAATCATTGTATATAAAATATGTAATAAATATTCTGTTTAAACAAAAACATGTAACTTCATTCTGTTAAATATTAAATTACACACAGAATTGAATTACGTATAAAACATTTGACAACTAGAAAATTACACATATGTAGATTGCATGTATTTGCAAGAAATATGCTGTCAAAAATATAACAAAAGAATACTTTCCGAAATTAAAAAATTCTTTTTAATTACTTAAGATATTACAAATATGGATATATTGAAACTAAAGTTCGTTTTAAGATGTATTAACGTCCGTATATTCGATTCCATAAATCGAATTTCTGCAAAATCATATAATGAATATAAATCTAAAGAATTTTCAACAGGTATAAATTTCCATTTGTATAATAATAACTTTAATAACTTTACATTGGATACTTTTTTACTACAGGTAATTTATTGCGAATTAAAGAGACAAAAACTGAAAAAAAAGAATCATTAAGAATGAAACAATTTCATAGAAAATTAAAATTGCAACCCATACCTAGTAAGTGAAACTTATAATATGTAACCATAATAATAGTTGAAATTAATATGAGGGTTCACTGTTATAAATTTACATACAATTATCATAAAATAATATATAATAATAGGAATACCACCAAAAGAACGTTTCGTGGACTTAGTACTAGTGGAAACTGATCCAACTAATGGAGAACTAATAACAAATAGTGAAAAAGATCCAACAAAGTGGGGGGATTGGCAAACTGGTGGGCGAGTGAGCGACTTTTAATTCAAATTTTTGTGTAACTATTCATTTCAATATATAAGTAAAATATAAAGAAGTAACAATTTCAATTAATTTAAATCTATGAAATTTATATAATTAACTAGTAAACGTTATTTGTTAATTAATAATATTGGAAATTTCGTCTAATGTTTTACATACTAAGAGTAGTTAGTACTATGCAAAATTAAATATTTTATTCTACAATAAAATAATAATTATAACATCTTTTTTAATTTCAAAAATTAAAATAAAATTGAAATTATTAAATATTACTATAAAATACAATTATTAAAATTGCAATTTAAATTTATTTTTTTATGCTTTAATATGGCCATATTATTTAAATTATATATATTAGGCTTAATGATAGAAGAAAATAATTAGAAAACAAATAATTAAGTATAATAGAAATATTATATAAATAAAGTAATACTATATTATCAATTTTTTATAATTTTTATGAAATAATAAATAAAATATTACTTTCATTTAATAAGTAACTTGGTCATTTAAAAGTAACCAATTTCACTTTTTAATAAGAACAATCAATTTTATTTATAAATGATACAGTAACAAAAATTGTGTTTTTAGGTTCAATAAGTTAACAAAATGTAATGACACTTTTTTTTATATAAATTGATAATTAAATGCAATTGTAGACCGTAATTGTACGTTTTTAGCTTCAACATAATAAATCAAATCTCAAAATAAACAATTTATGTTACCTTCATCCATATATATAATATATTTTATAATCTAAGATTTAATAAGGAAAATTTTATCCAATTCTATGCTATAAAAAATTATTTTTATCTGTAATTATATACACTTTAATAATATTACTTATTGAAGTATTAAATCAATATCATAAAAAAATTCACAAGTAATGATTATTAAATACTTTTTATATCAAAGTTATTTTAAAAAGTAAGTGAAAATATTACGTTAAAAACGTATGATTATATGACATAAAATCAATATTCATAGATGCAATGATAGCATTTTCTATATCAGAGCATTTTCTAAAGTGCATTATTTTATATTTACAGTACAGTTCCATTTTACAGTATGAATACAGTAATTATCAAGTCACTTTCATGATGCGCGATACACAAAATACAAAATTTTTTTATGAAAAGTTAAAATTAAAAATAGCGAGATATTTACAAAGTGGTGATTCTTATAGCGTAGTATTTTCCTTCTACTCCTAACAGATCCATAGACGATGTATCGAAAATAATATGCTCATAGCATAGTTTTCGTCTAAAAAAAAAAAATTAATTTTTTGCTAAGTTGAATTGCGATAAATATATTGCAGATCTATTATTTGTCATTGAAAATCTTGTAATAAGAAAATCAATTTTTTAGTGAGCTCTAATTATAAATTGAAAATCACTAAAAAATGTGTGTTATAATTAAGTTAAATTGAGTTAAATAAGTTGAGTTGTAAAATGAAAAAAAAAGAATCTAAAAATATAAATAAACTTGTTCAAAATAATAAATCTTCAGTCTTTTATCTAGCATCGACGGACCTGAAAATTGTAGTTTTAAGGTAGCATCGAATATTAAAGATTATAAATCTTAACATGTTATAAACTATAAAGTTTTATTGATGGCTAACACATCTCGCATCATCATGTTCCTGAGTGTCCATAAGGCATTTACCACATTTCCATGGTTGCCTACACCATTGCCTAGCCATTCCGCAGGCAATTTTGTTACGTCAGGAATTTGTGTATTATCAGGATTAGCATTCATTTGTTTGTCCCAATTTGATATGTACCGATTTTCTACGTTCAACGCTTCAATATATCTGCAATTACAGTATATTTGCAGTAAAATAATAAAACATAAATTAATAAGTACAAATTAAATCACAATAAAACTACTCCATTTACTTACCGTAAGTAGGCATCTGAATGTAATACGCGACTTGGTCTTGGAGGAACAGCAACGAACATAGGTTCCGGTTGTTTAGCACCAGACATGTTACTTGTTTGTGTTGCAGCTGCTGATGTTTCTGAAAAAAAGATGAAATTATTTTAAAAAAGTTAAAAACTACTTGTAATAAATACAATCTTGAATTCGTTAAAAATAAATAACATACCTGTTTCCATTGGTGGCAATATCGTTGGACCTTTTGATGCCATATAGTTTCTGTAACAAAAAGTGTAAATAGAAACTTAGGCTATAATATAAATTTAAAAATGTCGGTTTCTTATACAGCATTTTGACATCATACTTGCTTCTTTCCGAAGGAGGTATTATACGTCCATTTGATTTAAGGATATGCACTTCCTTGACATGCCTTGCAAGTCTTTGTACACTTGGAAATGGAGGTACAGATTTTTTCGTACGACCACAGCCACGCCATTGACATTGGAATTCTACATCTATTAAAACATATATTTCAAAAATTGAAATTTGTTTATACTGATATATAAAATAATACAGAGTAGAAGCTACACTTACCGCTTGCAGCATTAATAAAAGACGACTGAACATGCCCATTTTGTTCTGCGATACAATGGTCGATACAATCGGTCATATCTTCAAATTGCCAGTCACAATTATCCCAGCAACATTCATAAACTACATCTTGTAAAGCGTTAGTCCCTACTGAAACATTATTTCCTTTAAGTTGCCCACCGTCTTCATTCATTTTAATTGCTCTTTCTTCCCAAGCTTGTTTTTCTCCTGCTGGTAATTTTCTCCACTGAAATATAAAAAATATTTATTTAATTACACTTTTTCTAAAATAACATTTGGACATTTCTTAAAAATTTCTCAAACCTCCTTCATGATTAAATATGAAATGATAAGAAATTAATCTCAATAATAGATACTTTCCTATTGAGTTATATAAATAATCTATACAATATATCAGTTTAATAACATACTATGCTAAAAATCTATCATAAATAAATTATAAGTAAAAATTATGAAATATTTTGATATTCCGATTAATTTATATTGTATATAATTTATATTTAAAAAGTATATTTTTAAAATGTTAATAACAATAATTTTGTCATATATATTTGTGTCATATGTAAAAGAAAAATGAAGCATGCAGAATAATTTTTCGGAATATTTCAGCAGTTCGGTAAATTTTTTTATAATATTATATTTAGATTGTATCTGCATACTTTCCTCTTCTTCAATAAATTCTTATAATAAAATAAAAATCAACAGTAAAAAATAAATAAATACCTCGTTACCAACAATTCTGCTAATCTCCCCAAAAGATGATTCAGGATTGTTTTGTGTAATCTGCGTTCGCATTTTACTCGAATATAAAATATAGCCCGTAACTAATTTCTTTCCCGCCGTTTTCTAAACAGAAGAAAACACAAATTTTAATATCATCGTCTTATAAAAACGAATATTGATATTATACCTTTAAAATGTCTAATTGTTGTTCTAATGTTAGATAACAAAGTTTAAACGGTGCAAAAACAAAAAATATATATGCTGGCATATTTTTTTAAACAAAAATAAAATGAAATAAATAAAATGCGATATATGAACAAGTTATAAGCAAATAATGTCACGATAAGGCCTACCTTTTTAGTCGACACAGGTGTCTGAGTATTGGAGAGCACCGGTTGAGCTTCTGCAGATCCAACGGACGGTGGACCACCAGCGTCCATGCTGTCCTCCCCAACTCCTACTCCTACTCCCACTCCTAATCCTACTCCCATGCCTAGTACATCGGGTTCCAGCTTCGGTAACAATGGTGATGCTTCCTATACCATTTATGTTATGTTACGTTCATTATCCGTTACCGAATGTAATAGGAATGTTTCTTTTTTTAATTCTAGAGTGATGTAACAATTTTGTATAATATTATTAACTAAACAAATTTTTTTTGACTATAAATATCGCGATATTTATATAAATATTACTAATTCTTACAATCTCTCATTGCAAGTTTTTATTTAATCATTATTTCATCTGATTAAATATTGTAATATACTGGGCATTATTTGTAGGAGGAGATCTGCTGTAGTACTATATAACATAACATAACTTCTCAATATTTCAATTGAATTCCTCATAAATGCTTTAAATCTTGTAGGTATTTAGATATTAGTACTGTATGCATTCCACTTAAAGCATAATGCTTCATTTTTATATTATTTGGGTTAGAGTGACATGGAAGCGAGACTTTTTGGTGGTATTCTACATATATCATATATGTATATACATACATGTATTAGAGATAAACCCAACAGGTGCTCTGAATTTAAATCCATTAAAAATAATATCTAGTCCTACATAACCATTATATAGAAGAATAGAATCTCAAAAAATATATTATGTAAAATAAAAAAATATATATACATAACAAAAATAAGAGAAAGAAAAAATGAATATGCCGGCATAAAATGAGAAACATGCTTAGATACAAATTGATACAAAACCTGTATCACATGCAAGTCATATGTAACAAAATATGTAACAATGATAAAGTTGTACAATAACTTTTAAGATGAACAATTTGCATATGAGCTTGCGTGTGATTGTTAGAAAACATGCATCTTTGTTGCATTGTTAACCGAAAGATAAAAATTTATAAATAGAAATTACCATCTCAAATTGAGTTGAACTAGGAGTAACAGACTTGATTTGATTTTGCGTCTGAGCCACATCGCCCGGAACCTATAACACACACATCACATGCAAAGCAATGATATTCAGTTAGTTGCATATCAAATAACAGGCATATCAAATAACATATCGTTATCAAATTTTTTGCATAGAATATTATTTAAATGCTTAAATTTCATACGAACCTTAGCTGGATTAATAGGTCTTCGGAAAAAGTAGATTTCATCTTCAGTTACTGCTGAACTATGATTAAATTTTTTTAAACCTTCTTGTCCAAGTTTTTTCATAAGACTTTTACTTTCATCATATAACGATTCACAAATATATACATCATCTTCTGGAATTTCCGTCGGTCGACCTATATAAATATATAAATTTTTATAAAACTATAATAATTTTTTAAAATATAAGTTAGTATTTTTTGTTTTATAATTGTTTGGTTATTTTATAATTATTTTCTTATATACTCACTACAAATGTACTCTCCGTAGTCGAGGACGACACATTTTCCAACAATAGCCACAATAGGATGAGTGCCATCAACTGTAGATAGAAATAATTCTTGTTTATAAAATAACTTAGTAGGCGTATG